AATGTATGTAATGCCAAGTTTTAGAGAAATCCGTAGTTTTTTATAGTAGGTTTATGGTAGGTGTGTGTGTCGGTGTACCATTATTGGAATACAATTTTTTTCCCATTCACTTATTGATTTTAGCATCCTGCAGGTCAGGTGGCCTCATTTATTCGCGATTGTCAGGATAAACCATTGGTAAGTTCAATAGGATCATTGTTACACTAGAAAGCATATATTTACCTGAGGCTTATAGTATTTGAATGCTGTAAAAACAGATGCAACATTTAAAACATATCACCGTTCGTGTACTTCGGATCTGTGCAACGATTCTGACGGCACGCACGCCGCCACAAATGTGGATCCTAACTTTGGTGCTGCAGCTAACATGATAATTAAAGGTAAACTTTCATACTATGGTGCGAAGGCTTATAAAAATTGAAAAACTCTAAATACATTATGCAAGCGAATCTTGCCGCTACTGTACTTGACCATATACGGAGATGAATTAAAGGGGACACTATCTTTAATTATGTGAAATAAAAAAAATTTATGTTAAAAAAAGAAAGATTTCGTTTTTTTTTTTCTTTTATGGTCATCAACATTTTTTTAGCTGACAACCACTTAGGAAAAAGGAGGTCAGAAGAGTATGTATTAGTAAACAGGAATATATGATCAACTTACATAGTTATTTAAAAAAGACAACACTTATTAGTTAGGTACTTGTCGCAGATCGAAACTTCTATATTTGTTTTGGTAGTTTCAAGTCAGCGAAATGCCGGTGGCTCCATCCCAATTCTAAGCTTGAGTTATGAATGAGTTTTATTTTTTATATTCTACAATTGGTGAGCAAATCTCTCGTATCACAGCCAATGCGTAAAACTATCGAGATTGCTGGGCACATTACCGTCGCCCATGGCCGAGTTTTCTACCTGACTAGCCACTCATGCGGTTCTTTTCAATTGTCCCGGCGAAAGTTTGCTTCGAAAATTGCTAGCGAAAGAAATTAAGGATTTCAAGTTTGTCATGTTAATGTGCGTAACTTTAGTAGGCCGAAGATTGACTACTTTAATTAATTATTGCATCCTTTGCCGATTAATGTCGTTTTCATGAGTCAGATGTGGTTCCATCAGTACAGTAAGTTTCGTGGACTACTAGTTATAATATCATCTGCCACGATAGCGAGAGGCAGTGATATTACCCTCTATATTAGTCAATCATGTGTCATAAGGCAGTATTGATGTCTAAAGTATGGTTGTGTTGTTGACTATCTTGGTGTTAACATCGGTGCTAATAACCTGAAATGTTTTATTGTATGCGTATATAATTCATATAGAAGTAACTGCTTGGATGTTGTTGATTTGTCTTTGCATGATGTGCGTGCCACCTATTTTCGTAACTCAGTATCATTCATGGGATCGACACTAGTTAACTCCCGGCGTGCATGTTTTGCTTTTCGTTGCAAGTTAGCCTTTTTGCATCAAAAAGATTCTGCCAGAGTGTGAAGTGCACCCTCGTAGGGTAAACGATCACTTTTTGAGACCTAATTGTGTTTCTTGCAGTCGGTCTATACTTGTGATTCATGCGGTATCGACAGCGTGAAACATTCCATTTTGTGGCTTTCACAAAGGAAGAAGATTGACAGTTTATGCATGGCATCAAACCTAATGCTGTTGGTCATTACAACATCACTATTAAGTATTTAAGGCTAATTCTTGCCAGTATCATTCTACCATTGACTCATTACAATAACCTGCTCATCTCCTGACAACTGGGAAGTGGCCATTGATAAAAGGCCACAGTTGGTTCTTATTGAAGACTTTAATTTTACGATAATGTGTATCTATAGTATTTTGACGAAGCTAAGGCTTCCCTCAACTTAAGTTCACAAAATGACTAAATTGAAACTGAGCAAATGTCTCTCCTTGCAATTCATATCGTATGGTGCGAGCGTATATCGTAGCAATCAGTTGCAAGGTGCTGTTAATAAGTACGCTAGATATGTTTTTAATAGAATAGAAAGTTGTCGCAGTTTTCGCTCAAGATTTTGAATACTGATTTTAAACGTATCTTCACATCAGAAATTTACTCTTTCTTCATAAGCCCATCCGCTCTCGAACACCGCACGGGAAAATGTTGCTTACCAAATCTAGAAGGGTAATTAATTTGCTACTTGACCATAAATATTTACTATTATTGAGGCTATTCTTTGTTAAAGCTATAAAGTTGTACAACTCTTTACCACTTCGTATTAGAACGATTATTCGTCCGAGGGGCTTAAAGTGGCCATTAAAGTCTTATATAATCTATAATTGATAATTAAGCGTCCGTGTCTATAAGTTACTGTTGTTCGTAACTGTGCCGCAGGCGACTCTATGTTATTGGCATGTTAATATTAATTATAATAGTGATTACTATTTTATAGTGATATAATATATATATTGTCATTAATAACTATTATTATTAATTAGTAAACTCGATTAAACTAAAAATTGTTTTAAGTGAATTGGTGAATGGCATTGAGTGATCGGCTCTGCCCGACTAATTTTTTTAACTTATTTGACTTTAGATTATAACACTAACTTCATTCGCTTTTTTATTATGTAAGAATTTGGCAATAAAACCCTTCGCATAATTTATATACACCTAATTCCCTTTTTACACGATAGAAACGTTCACAGAAACTTCGTGCACAAAAAGAAATTGGCTAAATGGAAAAATGGTCGATTGATTCCAGACTTAAAAAAGCAACTGAAAAGTACAGTAAACAATATCAAAAAATTCTTATTAGAGTTCACTTAAGAATTTATTTCGTGCTTTCCCTGTTTTACTTCATGAAATATATTATAAACAATAAATTATATTTTGAAGGAATGAAAATAATATCTGAAAATCATTAATGCACAAAAAATTCAAAATAATATAAACATAACAAAACTATAATATATCTGCTATCACTAGAATCATTTTGCATAATGCGGCAAATTTTTTAGATAAAAACCAATTCCAGCAAGTACGATTTCCTTAATGACGCGTTCCCAAAAATTTTGATCATCGAATTTTATAAGTAAAAATGTTTAAAAAATGGGAAATACCGTTGCACAATACGGTTAAATCTGATGGTTTTGACATTCCTCCACATAAAATAACTGATTGATTAATTCAGCGTACGCTGCTCATTCGCACATGGCACCTATATTGGTTGAAACGCAACCAAATTTTAACCTAAACTTTTCGGCCGCTATATCTTCCAGCGAGATTTCTCGACGGGATGAGACGCACCACAACAATTGCTCGCCCTGAAATGTGCTGAAACCAACTACAGACTGTTGTAGATTTTTCCGCTTATTTTCTTTAAATTTATAAATGCGTACATCGTACTTTTCGTCGATAGGTAATGGTTGTAGTTCCCAAAATTGCAATTCTCCATTTTTATTAGAAGAAAGCAAAGTGGTTGCATTCAGCCACTGTACTTGAACGTGCGAATCTATATTTAAAATGTGTATAAGGTAAACAAGGATGAAATGCGGTTTCATTTTATTGTTTGTACGTACTTTTCCCACCATCGGATAAAGCACCTTTTAGCTTCAACTCATTTCTACGGTCAAGGAAACGCCGGGATTTAAATATTTGGAACAGAAGTGAAAAAGAGGACGAAATGTTTGTTTCGGAGGTACGTACTCAATATCGTAGACATCATATGCTCTCATTTTTGCTCCAAAATACCAAAGAAGCACAAAGATAAGCAAGTGTTCCTTGCCGCTGCAATAATCGAAAAAAAAAAATTTGTTAAACTGTTGAGGCGAAACCCCGAGTGGGCTAATAAACTGTTTATAACTTCTTTTTAGTGTGTGTGGACTGCGGGTGTTGGTAATTAACAAAAATGGAAGTTATCTTTTATGTTCCATAAGCGCTGTAAAACGTTTTATATATTTTTTAAGATAAAAACCTTTTTGAGATTTGCTTTATAGTCAAAAATTGTCGTTCCCCTCTATACAATGAACATCGATTCGTTATGATGCTAATTTTTGCTTAATTTTACTATGAAAGGATCAAAAAGTGTGCCGCATTTGTTGGTTTTGTAAACTTATTCAAAAGCCCTTAGTTTTTCATCTAACCATTGTTTTTCAAGGCAAGGAGCAACTGCAGCTAGTCCACATTTATGAGAAATGCAAACAGGCGCTTATCTCATAGCAGATTTTTTTTAAGTCCATGTTCAAAACTTACAGTATACAGATAGTACATTCATTTTCCTTCCGTTTTTTTCTTTTTTTTAGCCAAAATCAAGAAGAGTTTTTGATCTCAAAAAAAAGGATGCTGTTCATATCAGTTTGAAATATGCTCCATTTTTTATCGCTTTTTGGGCAGTACTTTATTTATCTATAGTAAGATCCCAGGTGGACAGGCTGCCTAAGCCTCTTTATCGCGTAGATGAACACATTAATCCCGAATCATTTATAGCCGAAAGAGCTGAAATAACATTAATTGGTTTAACAAGTATTGGTCCACGCGTAGTTGGAAGCGTTGCGAACGAGGTGACAGTTCTAAAATTTTTGTTAAATGAAATTGAAAAAATTCGAACGGAAAGTAGTGATTATTTCAAATTTGAAATTGACATCCAAGAGGCTACGGGGAATTACGTTCATTGGTCCATGATCAACATGTATCAATCGATTCAGAATGTAATAGTAAAACTAAGTGCAAAAAATTCAAGTAGTGGGAATTATGTTCTTATAAACAGCCATTATGACACTGTACCTAGCAGTCCCGGGGCAGGAGATGACGGCTCTATGGTAGCCATTATGTTGGAAGTAATGCGAGTGATATGCAAGTCTAAAGGTCCTTTGGAGCATCCCATTGTATTTTTATTTAACGGAGCGGAAGAAAATCCTTTGCAAGCATCGCATGCTTTTATAACACAACATAAATGGGCGAAAAATTGCAAGTTAGTCAACTTCATTTATTGTCGTCTATCTATAAATAAACTTGTTTATTCAACTGCTCATATAGAGCTCTTATTAACTTAGATGCTGCGGGCAACGGTGGTCGAGAAATTTTGTTTCAATCAGGCCCGCAACATTCTTGGCTTATGAAATATTATCGTCAAGTACCGCATCCGTTTGCCACTTGCTCGGCTGAGGAAATCTTTCAGGCAGGTTTAATACCTTCGGACACGGATTTTCGTATATTTCGAGACTTCGGCGGAGTGCCTGGTAAATAAAATTTAAAATAATTCCAATCGCATCTCAACTATCGACCTTTCCCATGTCAACTATCGCCATTTACTCAGGTTACGATATGGCCTTCATTTCTAACGGTTATGTTTATCACACTGAACACGATAAGATAAATGTTCTATCTAAAGGTTCTCTACAGCATACTGGTGACAATGTTCTCACTTTGGCTAAATGTCTAGCGAATGCTCAGGAATTAAACGATATCATGGTAAGTAAAAGCCAACGAAAAATGTTTTTACGGAGGGATAACGACGTATCGTCACATTTTAGCAACACTCTGACGGTCACGTTGTATTTTTTGATTTTCTTGGAAACTTCATTATATTTTATACCGAAAGTGTTGGAATAATCATAAATATTAGCATATGTGTCATTGCGATAATTGCAATAGGAATATCTCTATATACAATGGCTGCTGATTCTGCCATATCGCTGAAGTCTATATTTTCGAGTTTTGGCGCCAGCTTTGCTGTTCAAGTAGTAGCTTTAGCGGTTGGAGGTGGGTTAGCGTTTCTTAATGCACTTTTTATGGATGCAATAGGCAGTGCAATGAGCTGGTACTCCCAAAAATGGATGTTCATGGGACTTTATTTTTGTCCTTTATTTTTTGGAATGGGGATGCTACCTGCTTGTTATTTGGAAAAATCGCGCAAGGTATAAAAGCATCTTTGTTAGAAAGTAAAATTTTTCAATATTTTGATATATGTTTTAGGACAGATTATTTTTGGGTTTTCGCATTCAACTCTTAATGCATTCTCACTGCTTATTCTTGGTAGCCGTTACCATTTTCCTCACATATTTCAGAATTCGTTCGGCATATTTGTTTATGATGGCCGTGCTCTTCTATACATTAGCGCTTATAATACATTTAACAGCTAAATGTTATCGAAGTGTTTACCGGTTTGGTTTAATTATGATGGTTTGTCAAATTTTGCCTTTTCTCTATTACACCTCATTAACTCACATTATTTACGATGCAATGGTACCAATGGCAGGACGTTCGGGGTTGTCTTCAAATCCAGAGATATTCATGTGTGGAATTGCAATTTTCGTTACTATACTGTTTGCAGGATTTATTGTAAGTAAAATACTTTAATTCTTTTACGTTTAGCCAAAAGAAGAAGCCCTGTTTTTGCAGATACCACTGTTACTATTTTTCCGAAAAGTTCGTGTCTTGTTTAGTACGTTCTTGATTGTGACATTCCTATTTATAATAATCGCACTTACTCCTTTGGGATTTCCTTATAGAGCTAAAACAGCCTCTCAAAGATATGCGTTGATTGTAAGTGAAAATTTCCAACACGAATTTTCACTCCTTTAATTCTTACCTACCTACATTTCTAGCATGCGCATCGTATAATCCACGATGCAGACAAAACAACGCGTGTGAAAGAATCTGGCATATACGTGTTTCCTCAAGATCGGAACGTAAAAATCTTGAATGGTAGAAACATTAGCCCAATAATGAGTTCTAACTTTCAAAATTATCATTTTTATTTCAGAGAATACTAAATCAATTGGTCAAAAACACTTGGTAAGCGACTATTGCGCTAAAGAAATGTTGTGTGGGATGCCTTTTTATAATCATCGATGGTACAAGGCTAGGCAGGTTTACATATATTTGAAAGTTTTTATATTCATTCTAATTCTGAACATTTTATTTTAGAGATTTTAGCTTTTGGATACCGGTCGAAGAGGACCCTTATATACCAGAAGAAGCTCCGATACTCGTTTTGTTATCTTCAAACCAACTTGTTGACCCATTTCAAATAAATTACGAATTTGAATTGAATGGCCCTGATCACATGACCATATTTATAGATCTCACCGATCAAGGACGAATAATCGACTGGTCTTTTAATGAAACAATGATAAGAGAAAACTGGCAACCACCTTACTTTATATATTTCTCATGGGGCAAAACCGGTAGACCTTTAAAATTCACAATCCTTGTTGAGGTATGTATTGGAAACAATGAAACGTAGTTTGAAATCCACATAATTGTAGAGGGATTTGCATTAAAAACACACAAAAATGACAGCATAGAGTATTCAAATTATCTCATATTAAGATACAATATATTTGTTATACTTTACAATTTTTCTCAATGTTATTTCGTTCTTGTTTCTTTATTACCAATTCTTTTTTTTTTTTTTTTGTTTTTATTAAACAGACATCATTCTATCAATAAAGTAAAGTAGTTGTAGCTGTAATGTCAAGATCTGAGGAATTTTAACAGTAATCGAATGCATATCTTTTCTACCCTAAACCAACACACTCCGTTCTTGTCAGCACCACAACTCAAACTATTGAGGAGACGTACAAGGGGAGATGAATTTATATTTTTGATACATTTATATAATAAAGATTATATATTACATTTCAACCAAACCATTTCTTTCAATATATATGGAAAGAGAGTTATCATTTTTTTTTTGAAAATAGGGTAAAATCGAATGCCACGCCTATAAAAATTGTACAAAACTATTGAGGAGACGTACAAGGGGAGATGAATTTATATTTTTGATACATTTATATAATAAAGATTATATATTACATTTCAACCAAACCATTTGTTTGAATATATATGGAAAGAGAGTTATCATTTTTTTTTTGAAAATAGGGTAAAATCGAATGCCAAGCCTATAAAAATTGTACAAAACTATTCAGGAGACGTACAAGGGGAGATGAATTTATATTTTTGATACATTTATATAATAAAGATTATATATTACATTTCAACCAAACCATTTCTTTCAATATATATGGAAAGAGAGTTATCATTTTTTTTTTGAAAATAGGGTAAAATCGAATGCCACGCCTATAAAAATTGTACAAAACTATTCAGGAGACGTACAAGGGGAGATGAATTTATATTTTTGATACATTTATATAATAAAGATTATATATTACATTTCAACCAAACCATTTGTTTGAATATATATGGAAAGAGAGTTATCATTTTTTTTTTGAAAATAGGGTAAAATCGAATGCCACGCCTATAAAAATTGTACAAAACTATTCAGGAGACGTACAAGGGGAGATGAATGCATATCTCACTCAAGTAGGCATATAATCGACATGAACTAACCGAATTGTGAAAAATATAACGCGAAGTTACAATGCGTATTTGTGAAGAGTGAAAATGAGAAAATTCATAGAATATTGGAAATCGTGTTCATACAAAACAATTCGCGTAAAAAAAAATTTTTTTCGTTTTAAAAAATTCATATAAAAACAAAATTCTGTGTACCTTTATTATGATTTCGGTGGGTATAAAAATCATAAAATATGCGGCGAATATTTACCTGCCCGGTAAAGCAGGGCTTGTATTTAAAATGTATTCAAACTGATTGCGTTTCAAATTTTTATCAAGCTAGTATTTTTAGTGGCAAACTTGTAACTGACGGACCAGAGAAACTCTGTGATAGACGAATTTAGTCATATTAAAATATCCTCCGTAAACTATGCTATAAAAAATTATTAGTTAGCTAAATTAGTATATATTCTCAACTATTTTCGTTCGTGAAACTTATCTGCCATGAAACGAATATAATCACCTGCAGTGTATTTTTCCGTAATACTGCGCACCGTGTACACCGTGTCACTGTGCTTCAATCTCGCTCTCCTAATTGCACGTGTACATTGTTAAAAACTTTTAGCTTATCTCTTATTCTTTTCAATCTTTCCCTTTCTCTGCTAATTTAGAGAAATAAACAATCTATCTTCGAATTCTGTCAAATTAAAGGAAACGTTTATCAAGAATACTTGGAAAACTTCAATAAAATAAACGAGCGATTTTGGTGTTTGATACAATGCTTTCTTACGAGCCGCAAAAAAAAGCAACTGACACGAAAATGACACCCAATCAACCAAATGCTTTGCAGGCTAGTAATGAAGACTTGAATCCATTCCGAATCACTTAAAAGTATATAACACAAGCTTCCAACTGCCACGCCCGTAAATAATCAAAGTGCCTAAAATAATGGCACTTTCTTAAGTCAATTAGCAGAGTACGTTATAATATTTATATATTCACTTAAAGTGATACGTAAAAAATTCCTCATAAAATGACTGCTCTTTCTACTCATCACCGAAGGTCCGGGTGTATTCAGCACCTAAAATGGGTTATGAAAACTGCAAGGTCACTTCAGAGGCCCTGCAAAGTATATACATTCTTACCCAGTATCAATCCTGAACCGATTTAGTTGTGTTCGTTTGTCTGTCTGGATCACACATGTGTTTCTCGTGGTCGCAAAAAAGGCAAATATCGAGTTAAAATTTAGCAAAGCACATTGGAATATCTTTCACGCAGATTTGGCATTGAAAATGGGTCAAATGAGCGAACGACACACTCAATGTAAATTGAGGACAACTCCCTTGTTAAAATGAAAAAAAAAAAACGTTTTTTTGTTCGTTACTATGTACTACAACAAATAAAGCAATAAACATTTGCACATATATTTTTCAAAAATGGCTTCAGTACTTCTCAGCCCTGCTCATCCATTATTATAGAAAATTCAAATTCCGTTCTTTTAGCAAAACGTTTGAAACGCTCAGAAAGAAGCTTTAGAGAACCTACAGCGTCAATATATTTTTGAACTGTATCAAATTCTGAGTCGATCTAAGCATGCTTGTCTGTTGGCGTCTCCGTCGATTTATTTTATTATAGAGGGTTTCGAAGACCTAGGCATGTGGATCATATTTAGTAAAAAACAACCTATTCATTTTTATCTACTTTCCCCATCAAATATCGTAAATGAAATCTCAATACCTTAGAGAGAAGCTCTGAAAGCTCTAAAAAGTTAAAAAATCTTATACAGAATGAAATTCGACTATACTAGACTACGTAGACTTGGGCCTAAGTTCTGTGCATTTAGCTTGGATGTCGAATCACTACTTAGCATCAGTGCCTTTCATAAAGTGCCACAAATTAGTCTTTGTTGCGATATAAAGGCTTAATTATTGTAGACAAATTTCCGTAATGACTATGTGCCTTGACGCCGGCTAAAGAGCAAACATCCGTACCAATTTTTTTTAAATCTGTTTTCTTTACTATTAAAGTCATTAGAATGTCTTCCCTCTAGTTATACTAAGAACAACAATCGGTACGTATGATTTATAAATTACTTGCTCTAACATAAAGTTTTTGTTGACAATTGGGTTCTCGGGCCAATTCCTTATTTAAATAGATTTTTTAACTGAAAGTTTTCGCTGGGCGTATTCATTTCGCAATGTGGATGGCAAAATGTACAACATCAACTGAGTTGTTTACATTATATGAACTTCTCCATTAGCACCCCCCAAAAATTGAACTAATTCACTATGTTTGTAAAGTATTCATTGAGAAATATGCCAGAAAATATTTTTTTTAATTGCATTATTTTCATCATATTTCAAATCAGTTGAAAATTTTATAAGGACGCAGCCACATGCTATAAAAATTCGAATTTCTTTTTTCCATTTTCTCTTACAAAGCGGTCTACAGTTTTCTTTCAATTCAGTCAGCTTCTAATTGCAGAAACAACTAAAGTTTTAAAGATAAAAAGAAAGAAACCTGAAAAACGAAAACAGCAAGGCACAGAAAAAAATCATTAAAACGTTAGCAGAGCCTTCACAAACAGGAAAGGAAACCAAAACAAAAAAAAGTAAATAAAATGAATGCGGAGAATGGCGAGTCCAAACCTTTGGAAGAAGAACAAATTGAAGAGAAATCTAAAGGGCAGGTGGAAACACCGAAAATGCCAGCGCTCCCGGTACCTAGCATTAATGGATTTAATACCGAAGAGTTTTTGGCTCGTGTTAACATGAATGAGAAAATTAATAACATTTTGCGATCGCCAAGAAAAACCCCTAACGGCGTTCGTCAACGTTCTGTGTTTACAGCAATAACGCCTTCATCAGTAAGTTTAGTATTTAAGTATCTTAGGAATATTTTCCATCTCACAAGTTCCTTTTGTCTAAAGGCCAAAGGGCATTTATTTTCGTATTATTCTCAAGTAGGTTTATTGAATATTCCATTTCTTAAAATTTAAATTTAAAACAAAAATCACTGATTAGCTCTTATATTTTTTTTTATATATATTTTTTTTAAATATGTTAGTAATCTGTTTATTATAGTCTCGTTTCAATGCAAGCGCGACACCATTTGTTTCGCAACAACGAACGCCCGGAGGTGTCAATATGTCTTCTGGAACTGGCGGTATGACGCCAAAGGAGACTTCTACTCTCTCGGCAGCCATGCCAACAAGGCAGCTACCTATGCCGGTACATATGAGTGCCGCGTCTCCCCATCGCTATAGCGGTTACGAATCACCTTTAACCGGTCGTAGTGCTGGTATGACACGCGGCGTCTTCAACGCTCGCTATCCGGTAGCACCACCGCCATCTCCAATATACAACTTCGAAAATGATGTGTGCAGAATGGTAAGCTTGTAAATTTTGTGTATTGGAAGAAATATAATAATTAACGGTCCTTCTCTTTTTTTATTTATTTATTTCTTTTGAGACAGTTTCCGCAACCAATGCCTCCACCTCCGTACGCGATGGGACGTTTAAGTGGAAGTCATCGGGCAGTGGAATACGAAAATCCTACGCCGCCTCCATGCCCTGGAGCTGGACCGATTGCCATGACAAACGGCACTATTCAATTACGTTTGCGTGACGGAATACGGTACGATTATCTTTATTTATAACGTTCGTTAATTGAAATAAAGTTCACAATAAATTAGATTAAACGCATGTCCAACTCACATCTAAGCGTCTGGGAATTTCGAAATATGTATATGCTTTTCATAATTATTTCCTTTTTCCTAATGGCATTGCAGCATTGATATGACTTTGGACAAAGCGGTACGAGTATTGAATCAACGCAGTATGGTGGCCATTGCTCTTTCTCGCAATTGCAGCAACTCTGCTTTAATTCATCCCAATGGGCGTATATTGCAGAGCGGCTCGAAAGTAGAAATCGTTACCTATGACGGCATGAAAACTAATAGTTATGTGTAAGTTTCACGTAAAAATCACTTAAGGAGAAATAAAAGCTTTTTTTTTATGGATAGACGTTACGCAAAAATGTGGTATAAAGGTGTTAGTTTTACCAGTGAATCTTGTGCCTTAATTTATCTTGTGGACACGGCCGGTACTAGGACTACCACAGATACTTTTACTGATCTCACCAAGGACTATACGTTGACTGTGTTTTACGAGTAAGTAGAAACGGTTCTCTTACAGAGTATATTAACTTAGTAATTTTGTATTTTTTTCAACGCGATTTTCTAGTGACTCTCGTCATGGACCCTCTTATGTACAGGATGCTAATGAAGTTGTACAGAATTCAACTTATTCCTATACTGATGAGGGTACCGAGATTTATGAAATCAACGGTTTCCGTATTACCCAGGCAGCCGATGGTCTGGTTAAGTAAGTTTTGCTTAGTCGCCTGTTGAACTAATTAAAGTGATCCTGAAAGAGACGTTAATATTACGTTAACTTTAGGTTAACACGCACTCACAACAAGTGCTTAATACGCACCAGTCCAGGCAACGGTTCAGCTACATTGACTACTCCAGGAATACATTGTACAGCCTCTTTAGGCAAGACGTCTCATTTGTTTGTTAGGTAAATATATAAAATATATAGTATAGCGCATACTCTTTCGGTACTCTGTCATTTTGAAGAAGAAACGACAATACGGTTCATTAAATTTTATCTAAATATCTCTAGGCGTAATGAGAAGCGCATGCATTTTGATGGATCCTGTTTCATTGTAAGGAATGCGGGCCACTCCGCCGGTTTCAATGAAAATAACTTGCTCATCGTTTATTAATATGAAAGAGAAACCCAAGAACCCGTTGTAAGATAAAGAAGATGAAAGAAAGAAAAATTGCTTAAAGCGCCCAAAAATTAACATTGAAAACAGCAAGTGACGTTAACAAAAATTGAAAAAAAGCAAAAGAAAAACAATTGAGATATACATATGTGGCGCTATTTTAGAGATCTGTTAATTGTTAGACATCTTCCCAATTTACAATTTCATCCACATTTTTTCATTAGCATTTTTGCAATATATTGAAACGAAATTTTAGTTTTCGAAAGTGTGTGCCCCCGAAATTTTCAAGTGTTAAATAAGTGTTCATTGTTGAGCATTAATTTGCCCTCTACTTGTGCGCGCCCCCTTTAATTTATTATTAGAGTTAAAATAATACCGCGAGAATAATGAAATATTGAATTGAAAAATGTTCAAAACGCGCCTATTTATATGAGGCCAGCATCATCAAACTACTACTAGGGCGAACACGATGATTCCGCAGATACCGCACACGGAACCAAATAACTAATAATGGTAGCTTCAATTCAAGTAAAAAGCTTAACAATGAAAAGAAAAAAAAAAACGAAAGAGAAAAAGGATAACTTGCCGTTTGGTTGTCGTTTGTAAAAAGAGTGAGTGGGAGTGGAAAGTTATCCCGTGAGGAAGCGTTTTTAGTGTCAAGTGAATGTCACAAGAAAAGTGTCGCAATTCTCGAAATAAATAAACCCTTTAAAATATAGAAACAAAGCAAAACAGTAACTTATCACGTTCGAGATAAACGTAACCGTAAACGTCAACGTTTTCGCCCCCCCACCCCCCGCCCCCTCCCTATCCCCCTCCATAAATCTTCATCTTTTTTGGCCACTACCGTCTCTGTCTCCAACTTTGTCGTTTAATTACATAAAACTATTATACAATACTCATCTCTCTCTCTCTCTCTCTCTTTCTCTCTTTCTCTCTTTCTCTCTCTCTCTCTCTCTCTCTCTCTCTCTTTCTTTCTCTCTTTCTCTTTCTCTCTATATATATAATTGTATAGATATCTATAGTTGGTGTATACTCTAAAAAACATACAATTCTTTTTGAGACTTTTTTTTTATATCTTTTTTTTTTCATCTCCACTTCAAGGATTTCTCAAATGTTACATAAAACGCTTATACGGTTGAATCATGCTAGCACTGTTACTTTTTTACTTAAATATGAAACACAAATTGTGATTTCAATGGTTACTTAGTTACTGTGATTAAAATACACATTTTAGACTTGCTAACCCCAAAATTGACCCTTACATGTATAGATTATACATATAAGTTTGCGATTTATATTTTGGCTGTGCTTGTAACAAAATTAATTGAATTAAATCAAATTACGGTGTATTATGGAATTAATTTAAATTTGCGCATTTTTAAATTCGAACGATATAGATATGATGGTAAGTGTTAAACGGCTGGCGGCGACCACCCCAGTTGAAAAAGCTTTTGCAAATCATCTAATGAATATATGTGCGTAACGTTAATTAATTTAGTTGAATTCCATCGGAGAGAAACTCTCTCCCTAAAATGTATAATAATATAAAATCCATCTATGGAATATTAACTATGAGGACATTAAATAGATTTTGTGCTCAACTGAGTGCTAAATTAGATTAACACAAAGGCTAAAAGGAATATATGTGCATATATACATATATGTATGCAGTTTGGACGGATTTTGTGCATCCGTCAGAAGCAACACTAATGCATGGTTATTATTCTGTGCATTCAGTTATATCCACAAATACTCGCTTAACTATATATAACACATAAACGCCAACACGAAATCTTATTCATCGCAACGAAGAATGCACGAGTGTGTTTGGCCAGAGGTAGAATACAAGATATATCTATCTATGAAAGCAAAGTTATTGTTTGATAATATAACATAATATAGTCAAGTTTGTGTCATTTAAATTCCACCTAAATTTCGAGCGTTGGATGGCACTGCTATACATATACTTAATATATACGTTTAAATTATAAAAAAGGTTGCATTCATTTCCGAAAAACTGTGCCAAAATTAAAATTTTTAAAACTATTCCTACCCATGGAGTTCGTCATTCTCATTCCTTTCTGCCATTACTTTTGAGGCATTGACACGCAAAGTGGAGTAAGTCCATTTTGGGAAATAAAATGTCGGAAACATTTTCTGTTCATCCAGCTCGTTACTATTGTTCTGATTCTCAAACAGCGTATATATACATATATATTGACAATCGGGTGCAGCTCATTGTCAACATAGATCGTCTCGGAAAGAAAACATGTTACCTTCAAAAGATCTCGAAAAATGCGCGAAAATTTTGGGTTGAACATAATCATATATAGGCAGCGGTCAGATGGACAGCAACATTGCACTTGACCTTTGGAACGAAAATCCGTTCCTCGTCTATCAATGAAACCACAAAATTAGCGAAAAATTTATTAACTATGCATGGCTTGATAATAAACGATGAATAATTTCTGATATTTTAAAAGACTATAATTAGTTTTCCTACTGACAACATTGAATTTTTAGCAAAGTTCGCAACGATGTTAAATCTTTTTGGGTACTGTTATGAGATTGGATTGATTCTTCTCTATCTTATTTTATCTTTGCTATTGTCTAAAAGAGCTGTCGTTAACATTCGATTTATTCCGATGTCGAGCGTAAAATCTCTTGCAAAAAAAATTGTTCTCGAGTTACGTATTTCACCGGAAATATGAAGTAAAATACTGTTACGAAAAGCACAAATTTAATACAAATAATGGATATACAAAGTCCATCTAATCTCGTTACATTTGGAAATTTCAAAATATTGGGAAAACAGTGATGTACAGATGTTTGTCCGTCCGTCTGTCTGAATGAAATCTGTTCAGACTTGTATTCTGGTGTTTAATGTAAGCTTTTCAATTTTTGAAATACCTTGACGAAATCTGCTACACTGACCTGTTTTGAACCAAGGACGAATGATATTCAAAACGAAATAATTGACGAACTACTTTTGCGACCACTCCCAAATAACGCTTTCAATTGACAATGTTGTCATTAGGTGTCATTAATATTTCGGCATACTATAGATTGGTAGTAAATTTTGGGTTCGGTAGGCCAATCTTACCCTCTTTATAAGTACTCTCATGAAAAGTATGCTTGTGCAAAATATAATTATTGGTATATCGCCACGGAAGACACTGGGATATGGTATTGAAAGGCTGGCCTTGCCAAACGATTACGTTTTCACTTACATCCAATTCTAACTTTGACAATGTCTTATTTAAACTTATATATAAAGCAAGAGACGAAGGCGATGTTCAGCTATTAACGACTGATTTAATTGGCGAGGGTTTGACATTAGCTACAAATTTGGAACAACATTTTCTAATAACTAATAATCCTGACATGGAAGGATGTTTTGAAATTTCAACGTCATCTTAGTGTGACTGAATATCATAAATCATATAAACATGATAAAGCAAAAAAGCAACAAGAACAAAAACAAAAAACAACAGGGGCCGTTAATAGCGGACGTAATTTTTGTCAAAACTCACAGTCAGGCCACAACTCCGACATATGTGACATATCTACTGACGACAGCACTTTTGGTCCAGTTCGTAATAAACCTGCACATAGTTGGGAAATTGGTTATTATTCGTAATTTCAATTTCAATTTTCATAAGCTGTATTTGTGGACTGCGTTTTCACTGTACACTAATTTCATTTTTCTTTATATATAATAATAGAAACAAATTGTTTTCGTCTTATAAGTATGTAATATGAATGTCGTTATTATTTTTATTGTCACGGTTTTCACGGAAAATATTTGGAGTTTGTTTCAGCGTACACGAGTTTTTTAAGTTGTGGAACATATTTACCATATGTCGCAAGTACTTTTTTAAACCATTTTTTTTTTGGTCGGATTTCTAAGGAACGGAACTACCGTGCAGAAAAAGGCATTGCGTACATCTGCTTTGCTTACTTGATTGTTTAGTTTATTTGTTCCTCTTTGCATTGAGATTCTTATATTCACATATCAATGATATCACAAGCAATTCATTCAACTGGCAAGGTCTTCGCAAAATCTTTGACGCTTTTTTATCTCTAAGTATTTTATTTAATGAGCGGGCGTGAAATCCACCTCGATTCACAGTAATCTGAGAGTATTAAATGAGCGAGTCTGAAAACTACTTGTTAGATTGTAATGCGACTCCGAATTTGAAAGTATGAGAGTAATTAAATGAGCAACTTGGCTTGTTAGATTGTAATCAATTCAATTTCTTCTTTTGTAATAGATTTGAGGCTAGCAGTCTATAAGGAAATTCTGGGCTACTGTGGTAGGAATTGAGCAATATTCATATTTTAGCAATGGTTTTTGCAATAAGTGGTCCGAGCAGTTTCTCATTAAATATAACCAGCACTTCTCAACCCTTCCAAAAAAAAAAAAAAAAACAATAATCGTATCTCAAGAATAAATCTGCTTGAACTTACTCATCCTTTTTTTCCATTCTTATTTCTTGTATTTCACGATCGTAATATTCTGGATACTCTTCTAATTTATCTAATTTTTTCAACATTTTTTCATCGACTTCATAAACTTCACCTTCAACATTATGACACCACTTATGGTACGGGCAATATTAAGGCAATGTATGTAGCACGCGGAAAGGCTTATGATAGACCCACGTTTTATTATGCAAATCGATTGAGCCTGCCTGTCTGCCTGACGGTCTGACGTCTGTCCGTGTAAATTTATGTAAAGAGTGTTATATTCGAGACATTTTGATGAAATCTGGTACACTGATGTAGTTTAAACGATACCGAAAATGGTTGGGACTGGTCCACTTTTTCGACCATTCCCCCTAATGCCTTATTTTGAAAAGTCGTTATAATTTTTGGTATAATTGGTGTGAAAAATTTGGCAGCTTGGCTGAGGCAGCTTTTTGAATCCCATTCTCATATAAATCTTCCTACTAAAACTGAATCTTTGTATAATAAAAAGGCATAATTTGTAACATTTCATGGTGAAAACTAGTTCACAATAGTAAATTGTTATGGATATCAATCTTACCGCATTCGGACCACATACGACTAATATTTGGATCAATATGCGGGCTTTTATGAAAAGTAAACCTTTACATGAAAATAATGTGTAACTCTCGAAGTAGTATTACCAAAATGAGTGAATAATTGTATTAGACGAAATGGCATTGGGTGTTTAGTAGCCGACTTGACCGGCTATAATGTTCTTACTTCTTTTCCTCTTTTACTTTTCCATCAACATGAAAGGTTAGGAGACTATCTAAGAAACAAACGGATAAAAAGATACGAAGAATCGAATGCACGGAGTCGAGTGAAACGAAATATATTGACGAAAAAAACACTGAACCGAGAAACGAAACAATATGACTACATTTTGTGAATATATCTATACTCGCTTAATTTTTCCTTCTTTGCTTACTATTCTATGTACTAAAAATAATAAAATTATAATAAATCATTAAATATTCTGTATCACCCTACAGTTATTCACGTAACGACTTTGGAAAATAAGATCTTCTATGGGAAGTACTCAACAACTATTCTAATCCGAACGATTTTCAATAACGAAATATAATTGTGCGTTCATGCTTGGGCCAAAATTCGTGAATATACCAAATTTCATCAATATATCTTAAAAAATTTGCCACCTGTAAGTTGAATACAAAGCAAACAAGGTGGGCAGACGGATAGATAAAAGAATATGGGCCTATCTTAACTGGGCGTAGCGTATATTCGTAAGGAGTAGAACGTTGAAAGTAATTTTATCGCAATAAAATAAAACTTAAAATTTCCTTCATTTATCTTCGCTCGCCATATAATACTATATGTATTGTGAAATTGAAAAAAAGCTTCAATGGTGATGGTAGTAAAGTCTTGGTCTTGTACGCCTGTAACGTTTTAAATTGTTTTAAATTAAAATTTTGTAGAATTACTTAAGGCGATATGCAATATTCGCTTCGGACTACAATAATTTTAGTATTAATTTTTTCGTTTGCAGCACGCTATTAAAGCGAAATGATATTAAAGTTTGGCTATTATCCCTTATTTTAAAACACATATCACTTCGCAGTTAATTTAAAGCTAAACCAAGTATAAAAGCTCACTTTTTATAAATATACCTCAACATGTCAACTTTACCTCTGGGCGACGAGCCACCAAACATTGTATGCCCGCGGTGCGGGCAGTCCATATTGACGAAATTGGACTATAAAGCAACTACCCGGACCTATATAATAGCTTTGATTTTATGTCTGATGGGGTGAGACGCATTATCAATAATTTGCGAAAGATTTTTGTCAATAATTCTATATTTTTTTTTTTTTTTGCTAGCAATGTTCTTCTTTTATTTAGTACAATAAAACGATATATTAGAAAAACTTTGTCGAAGAGTATTAAAGTAAGTGCTACATGAGTCTCAAAAATATTTCGATTTGGGGAAAGCTTGAATATAATTCACTGTCAGTTTTAGATCAGCGAGCACGTTTCAATATGCTAGATCCAGAGGACGGTTCTTCTCGTTTTTAGAATCCTACTATCGGAATTTGATTCGAAATAGTTTGTTGAGCTGAAAGAAGCGATGTACAGTGGTGTAAATGAACTTTATCGATAGCCATGAGTGTGGATCGCGTTTCATTTAATAGTAACGTGAAGCGTCCTCCTTTTCATTTATTTTCTAGGTCAGGATGTGTACATTCAGTGATAAAAAGAGAGAGCCAGATATGCGCATACTTGTTGAAACTTATTGCGAAAGGACGTACAAAACTTTCCGATCCATTTATTATCATTCCGAAAATTCATAACTTGATCCTTTGATAACATCAGCAATAAAAAATCATCAGCAAAAAATCTATCTATCTATCATTTTTGGCGATTCGACGCCTTCACTGATTTTGGTTGATATACAACTTCATGGCAGTTTTCCATATAAAAATTCCACTGATTCTGGTTGATATACAACTTCATGGCAGTTTTTCATATACAAATCTAGTCGTAAGATATTTTTCGCATAAACAAAACGTATATACAGGCATTCCCCGCTGAACACGGTTAATTCGGTTCTCGATACCTTTAATTTTGGTTTGAGATAACTTTTGAATATTCGTGATTTTGAGCAAGTCGTCTTTAAGACTTGACTGATATCTATCTGTTAGGATGAAATTTGTGATTGTATGAATAAAACAAATATATTAAAGTATGTCTTGTTTTTGCACGTATGTATGTATGTATGCGTGTATGTACGTATGTATATATTCATATTCATCATTTTGTTTATTCATCTAAATTTTTTACAAATTCTGGTTTATTATTATCAATATTGATATTCTCGATATTTAACGTTTGTTGAATATTCTCATTATTTTTTGATCAAACTCCGTATATCGGGATAACTGGACTATCGGAGATTCAACATAAACCAAATGTAAATATTTTACTTTCTTGCTGTAAAGCAACTAACTCGTTGCTTTGCGTTTTCATTAAATTGTATTTAACATACATTAATATATGTTTTTCTAATTTTTATTATTACTTACATGATTAGTCGAACCATTTAGGTTGTTTTGTTGTTCCGGGGGAGTTTGGAATGGTAAATCGGTTTCCACCGGTAAGGGCTGTTGTGAAACGGATGGAGATGGTTGTGGAAGCGTTGGGCCCGTTCTATTACGGAAACGGGCCAAAGCACTTCTTATTCCCTCCGTATTGACACTATCAGATTATTATGCAAGGAAAATGCCTTTACTAGTTTTTTCCTTTAAATTTTTAACACATAACTATCGCGAGAGAATTTATTTATGTGGAAGCGTAAGTATAAGACGTACAAACATATAAAGACATGAATGTATGTATGTGTGTACAATCATTTATTTACACAAGCGTATATAGCCAGGTGCCAATATAATTAATGGAGTAATCAAGCTTGCTTAAAGTGATTTTAATACGAGAAATTATGGGAATTCCTTGAGAGAAACAGATTCATATATTACGGGTGGGTTAAGGATATAAAGAATAATTTTTTTTTTTTTCAATATTAAAATATATCGATTTACTTGTGAGAGTTCTAAATTAAAACAAATCGATTTTGTTACATAAATATAGTTTTGGCCAGAAAACCCAGCTTTCCCTACGCAAAACTTTTGACATATGCTGTACCTCGTTTTTAACTAGACACTAGGTCAAAAGTTATCGTTCTTGGTTTAAAAGATTTCAAAAGGTTAATTCTTACAGAGAGTAAGGCGAATTGATGACCGACACAACCACGTGTTCGATTTAAAACCATAACTGAGTTTTATAAGTCATAATTGTTGTTACGCAACTGTTTTATTTGCAAGGTTCGCTGGATGAAATGTTATCATTAAATTTGAGTTTAAGTTACAGTAGAAGTGTATAGTGAATAGATTACTGGCGCGATGTTAGTTGTAGTGAAGTTAGTATGTAGCTAACATTTTTGTTTTTGCTAAAAGATAGACTATCTTCACGCTTGATTTGCCCTTCGTCTAAGGGAGAAATATAGAAAAATAGAAAATAGAAACATAAATAAAAAAAGACTTTTTATTTCCTGGCCAACTATAACTTGGCCAAGACAATTTTTTAGCAAACACACAAACCTTAACAATGTGGGCTATCTTCACTTCGTTAATAGATTTGGTATATATTTAATTTTCGGATTACATTTTATTTAAAAATGCCTTTGAATCTGCTAGAAAAAACCTTACGTGGGTTAAATGCAAAAGTAAAATTTTTTGCCGTATTCTCCTCTTCAAGTCCTTGTATTTAATACTCCATTCGTTATACTGCTAAGAAAATAAGAAATCGACAGTCTATCCATCGTATTTATTTTAGAATTAATATATTTGTCGACAGATGATATATCTTCATCTTAGAAATGTACAGAATAATTTTCGATATTCTTGCTTATGAGTAATGAGCAGAAAACGTAAAGAACGTGAAAAAATAAAAATTTCTTATCATTGTATCTACTTTGGTTCATAAATAACGACCAAAAAAACAAAATTGTTTTCAATATGAAAGCAGAGGCGAACTTTTGATCAATTGGTCTCGCGTTCAATACCAGCTTACGTGCTCGTCTTTATGCTGGTCGTCAAAGATTTTGTTCTTCAATGAATCGAATGCTCTGCAGAAATAGTAAAAGTGAGTAGGTGTGGATTGTGTAACTTTCCAACAGGATAGAGCCCAAAATTTCGAGGAAAAAATATTTTTCAAATAATGAACTTCATTCCACGCAGGCTGCATAGTTCGATTTGTCTGTTAAGCCAATTATAAAAGAAATATATATAGAAACTTTAAGGAAACATTGAAAGCTCTTAACTGCGATATTTCGTGGCCTTTCTGAGCAATTCTCGCACTCTTATAAGTATAGCTTAAAAAAGTGAATTGTCCGGTCGACGTGACATTTATACGCTCTCAGAACAAGGGTGAAAAGCAATGTGTCATGAAGGATGTTAATAAATAGTTTTGCGGTCCCGTGGATACTTGAAGCAGCAAGACGAACGGGTTGTTGTCTTTTACTTTCAAAGACATTATGTTAATTCTTTGCAATGGCCTTGTGAGAAATGTTATCCAATAAGAGGATTAAAAAAATGACAAGTATAAACGATATATCCCCGCCCGCGTTTTTTCTTTTCCCTCCATAAGTCCTTACAGATTGGGGGTCGATAATATAAATTCCTAATTTCATTCAGTGCAATTCAAATTTTAGGAAGCACATAAAAGCAATTTAATTGAAATCACATTCAGTGCATAACAAATATTTATTATAACAAATATTTATAAAGATATGTGTACGAGCATTAGACAGTTAGTGGTAGTGTCGAACAATATAAACAAAACAAAATTAGGTCACAGTTAATATCGTATATGGACATAACGATGCGAATGCGTAAAAGAGAAGCGAGAAAGAGAAATAACTAATACCAATATGATAAATAAAATTGCATTACGACTTTTCACATATATGTATGCACATACACACTACACTTTTATTTATAAGCATATTCGTGCTAATATCAAATACGCTTCATTTTTGAATTCTCTTACACGAGTGACTCAAATCATGAAAATCAATACATTTAACACAATACTGCTACAATACTTGTAGATAATTTAAAATGAAAACAAAAAAAAAAGGTATTGTTATATACATACATATGCATACAAAATGCATATTTCAAACATTTAATGCACTTATACAAACATATGTGTGTATATACGAACATATAAACGAATATCTTTAATTTCGATATCCATACACTCGGCCAGATTCACTTTAACTTTTAATTTTTTATTTTTAAACTTTAATATTGCAAAAGGAAGGAGAACAACTCATCTTTTAACTTAAAAATTACACTTTCCTACTCAAAGATAGTGCGTGTTTCCCTTTGAATTCATTTGCGAGTATAACATGTTGTCATTTCTTATTATTATTGAAGAATTCCGATACATCTGTCATTACTATTCTTTTATATGATAAACGACCTTACTTCCCGTCCGAGTGAAACGACTTAACGCGGAAGAAACACTTCGGCAAACTAAATAAAATGAAACCTTAGTACCATTCTAATGGGAGATTTATTCTCCGTTGTTACTAAAAGGTAGTATAAAAATCTGCTATATATAAACAACGTTCTCTATAAGAGCAGAGATGATATTTGCTTTGCAATAAGAAAAAAACGTGAGAAGCATTGAAAAAAAATCAAATTTTACGATTTTTTTCGTTACAATTCGCATTTTTATAGTCACCAGCGAAGCATTTAAATTTTAAAAGCGAAAATTATAATAACATTTGATCAATCCTTTCGGCTCTTTCTTATCTTTTACAGATTTTAAGGCAATATTTTTGGGCGCTCAAATAGCTGACTTTCTTTGTTAAAAAAACGAATATGAAAATTGAATTGAAATTGAAATTTTTCTCCTTCAGGAACGACATTCCTTACCGTTACATTCATTACATCAGCCGCCCGAGTTTTTGATCCCATTAAAATAATCGAGAGCGCATCCGTGAAAACACAGCAAAAAAAAAAACTAGTAACAAAGACATGTTTGGCTAGGGTCCGAATCTCGCATAACCACCACCACTACTGTCTTAAACGCCCCATGCTTTTATTTGTCGTCATAAAAAAGTGAATGGGCTAAAACTTAATTTTTGGCATTTACTTCACTAAAAGGTATTGTTAAGAAAATTTTGTCTACTTCGTCGTGACGGCCGCATTCTGTCTTCTTTACGTCATAATTAATAAGCATAAAACCTTAAAAAAATGAAAAAAAAGAAAATTTAATCACTTATAACTTTATGTTGACATGTCCGATTTTTTCCATTCTTGCACATAAATACTCTACGGACTTCTGCCTTGACTAACTTGGCTCGTTTTCAATACTCACTTGCGTGCAAAAACTTCTAATGTTGCTTCCAAATTTCGAGTCGATATCTTCATTTTTGCGACCAGGAGATTGTCAACAACTCTGAACCATGCCCGGACTTAAAAAAGCAAGCAAAAATTCTTGTTACAGTTCACTTAAGAATTCATTTTGTGCTTACAAAGTTTGATTCATTTAAGATAGTATAAAAAAATGAATATTTTAAAAAAGCAAACTAAGGGGCTTAAAATATATATTTCATTTTTACTCTATCCATAATTCGGGGAATCTCACTTATATAAGCACATAATCCACATAATCTAACTGAATTGACAACGAAAAATTTATAGAAAGACAAAAAAAAAGAAATTCATCAGAAAAATTCATTAAGAGAACACAAGAACAAAATGGATGGAGTATTGAAAATCGTGTGAAAACAAAACAGTTCGTGTAAAAAGAGAATCTTTTATTTTTAACTCCTGTTAAATGACATTTCATGTAAAAAAAATTCATGTAAAAAGATGATTGGTGTATATATATTAACACACGTTAGCGGACAGTGAAAATTTCAGCGAGGTGTAAAAAATGACAGTCAATTAATCTTAAAATTAATTACGATATCGGGAATCTGATTTAGTACATTTTCTAAGGGTAGTTAGAAGATCATGTAGCAATCGATACACGCAACGAATACTATAGCAATCACGACAATGTAGATCAAATTTTTCAACTCAGGTGACGTGAATGGTATAGCATTCATGTAAGAGAAAACATGAGGGCACAATGGGAGAATCTGGTCTCTTTCTAGTGAAATTTACGAATTTAAATGTGCTTTAAGCAAATTGGTAAATATACAGAGGCAAAATAAAATAATATGGAAAAACTTAAAGAATCAGGTAATTAGTATATTTTGGCAACTACAATAATTAAAAAAACCCCGGTGGTATAAAAAATTTAATGAAGAATAATTGGCTTTAAAATTTAAATGTCGAGCATTCATGGCATTTTGCGTCTTTTAATTATTGCATTTTCATAAATATATTTATGTACAGTAAAAGCTCCTTATTCGCGCTTCATTTATTCGTGGTTTCACTGTTCGCGCATTAAAAAAATGCGACCCAATTCGGGAATTGTTTTGTTTCTGTAGTTGAAACTTATTTAAAAAAGGAAAATTTAGATTTTAAAGCACTTCTGGTTTTGGACAATGCTCCAGGTCATCCTCGCGAACTTGAAACTATGCATCCAAACACAAAAGTAACATTTTTACCTCCCAACACAGCGGCTTTGCTTCAACCTATGGGCCAAGGAATAATCCAGGCCATTAACCTCTGTTACATTAGACGAACCTTCAAAATCATATTGGATAATATGGAATGTAATCTTGATATGAATGATATGGAATGCGGAAAAAATTTGATGTAGGAAAATGCATCGTAAACATAAAGGAATCATTGGAAAAACTGAAGCTACACACATTGAAGTCATGCTGGAAAAAAACGGTGGACTGCTGTGACTGCGGAAAATGACGAAGAATCTGGACGAGATGGGTTTGAACAGATAGAATCAAGTGACATTCAGGAATTGATTGAAAATGTTCAAAAACTACAATTAAATTGATTTTTTTATATATTTGATTTTTTTTTATATTGTCACCATTCCGTATTCACGGTTTCTTTTTTTATTTTGTCACCTAGGAACGTACCCCTATAATCCCATATAAATTACCATTCCGTATTCACGGTTTTTGTATTCGCGGCATTTTTATGCGCGAATAAGGAGCTTTTACTGTATACATATTCATACATACATACATATATATATATATATATATATATGTATATATAAATACATTTATATACATTAAGGTAATTGAATTTATTCCTTTTATTTTGACTTTTATATCGTATTACATGACATTGCCGCTAATATTATTTTATCGCAAATTTTAAAGTTTTGTAATCTATTGGAATACCGCTAACATAGGTTTCTTCAATTATCACCTAAACAGTGCACTAAACTAAGGAAGTACTTGAATGTGTTGTCATATGGGGATTGGCTTGAGTGTTTGGAAAATGACCGTTTTGAGGTTAAAAATTAACACTAGGCTTGAAAGAAATTGAAAATCCAACAAATGCTAGGGATGTTGGAGAAATGTTAATGAAAAAATCTGAAAAGTGTAATTGCAAATATAAGCAGTGCACAAAGGCGTAAGAGTGTGTATTAAAGTTGAGAGAAGTATGGGTACCAAAGTAATTAATGTGGAAAATAATGCAACTGATGAGAAATATTGGTTGACCACGAGCATCCTGTGCGCAATATATAGAATATATATAGAATATATAGAGAATACTGCTTTAAGCTCGACTTAAGTTTGCTAAGTCAGATTCAAAACGATCGGTCAGATCAGTCGCATATTTTGTATCTGCTAAAACAATTAACGAGCTCACCATGGGCGGCTTAGGTAACGATTGCTGTTGAGTTGGCCCAAACGACGATGACGGGAAGAGAAGAAGAATAGTATATAAAAACAAAAATGTAAAAGAAAATCTTCCATTTTAATTATTTAGATTGACGACTACCGGTTTTCTTGCTGGAATGGAAATGTTTTTTCAAACTTGATTCAATTTCCCATAGATGAGAGCGCACAGGAAAAGACAAGGTGTTGAAAGATGACTGCGAATATTTGCATCGGACGTGGTCAGCGTCAGATGATAAATTTTGTATCGTTAAAAAAGCGATGGAAATTAATTCAAGCATTTTCTTTTTACCAATGTTAGAGCGAGTGTAAATTGAAGCACAGTCCCCAACCAGTTAGTCCTTCCATCTATAAAATAATTAATTACAACATATATCGCAGAAGCCAATACTATAAAAACGCTTAAAGGTTCATCGCCAAGAGCACTGTCTAACAAATCGCTAAGGTATTACAAAAAAAGATGAGAATGAATCTGTAAATGATTTTGAGTCAAGAGGTAGTGAACTTACAAGCGCTTAATAAATAGCAATTTTATTATTGATATAGAACAGGAGGTCAATACCACCGCATAGATCCGCAAACACTGTACGGAGTAATATCGTTACTGACTTTAGCCATTTAAAATGTATTTCTTTTGCAGTTTTTTAGTCTGGTTCTTAAAAGAAAATTTATTTATTTTTTTTTTGCAGACATTTTGCAAAGTGACATAAGCTCGAAATTTTGAATTTTTTCATTTACATTTTACGATTATTAATCGGGTTTTATCTGACTGAGTATTTAGAAACCAAATTGATTTTTGGCTTTAATATGTCCGCCTTGTTCTATTTGTCGAAGGGTACGTTTTCGAATGATGAAATTTTTTGCCTAACATTTATCACTTTTTGTTTTTAATTGAGCAATTTGACAAGTGCATGTGCAATACAAAATACAGGGGCAGAAGTGTAATTTAGCGAAATTCCGCGCGCAAGCAATGGAAGAATCTGAAGAAGGAACATTTCGTAAAAAATTTTTACTATTTCTGAAGTCACATTTGTTGGCTGCTGCCTTTGGGCTGATAACATTACTTCAATGGCTTTATATACTCAATTGGTAAGCGTAACAAAATGCAATAACTGCTAGAAAGTAAACTGTTTCTCGAAGGGAACCTTGGGAATTCGCCACCAATCCTATTGTCAACGTGTGCTGTATTTCAATTTCAATTTTGATTTGGATCATTTATTCCATATCGCACTATTTATTATTAGCTATACCACCGTTTGTTGAATGGATATTCATTCTTCTCTTAGTAAGTATAAAATTTCATACCGCTGGTATCGCATTGTATTTCGTGCGTTTTTCAAGGTAGAATGCTTAACACTATCTCCACTGGCCGTCGTGATTAGGAGCAGTGGTCTAGGCTTTGCAATATGTTTAAGTGCAGCTGTAGCAACTTTAGCAACTTTTTCATTTGTGGGTCTTGGCCTATCAAAGGTAAAGATTTTCTCACCGTGTTGTTATATCTAAATGTTTTTATATTCGATAATATATATGTATATATAGTAGCATTTCGGAACGAAATTTACAATTGTAATCGACATTGGGAGGGTGATGGCTATGGGTCTCTTTATAATTACAATTGTTGTGGCACTTCTTCTCAGGACCTTAACAGCCATTTACATTTGTGTTACGTTGGCTTACGTTACGATAATAATGGTATATCCATAATAAGGTAATGTATATATATATATATATATAGTAATGGTATATACTCCTGAGCAATTCTAAATTTAGTTTTAATTTAATCTTATCTAATTCAGTTTATCAGTTACAATGCAACTGTCCTGAGAACTGAACGTATTAGAGGCTTTACATCCGTTGCAAGCCTTGCTTTAATCATTTACTGTGAGACGTACCTTTTGTCTATTATAAGCTTATATGTTTGTTGGATCATGGATCGGTATAATTAAAATCCAAAGCAACCATTAGTACCGTTAGTTAGCTTCCGTGTATATAATAATAAAATTGTGTGTGTGTGCTCTACTTTTTTATCTAAATAAGGCTTAGTTTCATTCTCAACGCCAAGCGTTAGGAGAAAATGCATATGGATCAGGTAACAATCCCATCAAATTTGTTAGGCTACTACGTTTATTCTATATACGAATATTGAGATTGCAGAAATTTTCAAAATAGAGATCTTAACTATGCTCAATCCATAAGTGGTATGCCGTTATCGACCAAGCACTCTTTGCAGCCACGACCAAAAAAGACTCTACCGCATTCATTAATCCATCAAGACAATGCGAAGTCAGCTGCATTCCAAGTAGCGAAAAAGCATTACCTTTCCTTAAGTGACATTTGCAAACAATGGTCAGCCATAATAATATTAATATATGGTCGTCATATTACAATAGCAACAGATTATTATCACCGACACAAATTTGTTAACTAGATCAGAAACTATAGAAAATTAATTATGGTATAAAATGGATAGATAACGATATAATTGCGTATAAAACATCAGATAACAAAGAATTCGTTAGTTATACCCTATGCCACTTGTGGCACAAGGTACATTAAGTTACTGTGGACGTATGTAACATTCAGAAGGACTTAAGATCGACCTATTCCTCATTGTCCCGATCAATTCAGAATCATCTCTGTCCATCCGTGTATTTTTGTGCTCAAGCTGCGAGCCGCAATTTTTGCGATATCTTGATACAATTATGCATAGAGACGTGCATTGGCCCAAGGACCGCTATTGAAAATCTACCTTTCGACTCCCCAAATAACGACCTATTCTGGAAAATCGTTATACGAAAAAAAAAAATTCAATTTGCAAAATTTCTTAGCGAAAGTGACTGAGCAGTAGTTTTTCAGCATTCTAAATTGAAATGAAAACTTTGAACCGTTTGGGCAATTTTTTCAACCCCCTCTCATATAACCGTTCCTATGGAAATTGTAGGTTTATATGGTAAAAAGGTGAAATTTTCATTATTTCATAGTGTAAATTGGCTCATAAAAGCAAATTGGCAAAGAAGTCTACCTTACCGAATTTGCACTACATAAGTCTATTTTTTGGATACCATCGCATGTAAGGATTCTCATGAAACGTAAACCCTTATAGGCCAAAAAAGTCCTATTGTAAATATTTTGTGATGAAAATTAGTTCATGATAGTAATTAAACAAAAAATTAAGTGGACCTAATTTTAACCATGTTGGTCTGTTTCTTGGCTCCACTCCATATAAGAGTCCCATGACTAGCAAGTTCTCCGGAGAAAGGATTAATTTTTAATAATGAAAATTAACTCACAGTAGCGATTGAGTAAAAAAACTAACTGTAGGGAATATGGATCATATAGGTCTGATTTTTGGACACTAACAATTAAGCATTTTCCGAGTTGCGGGCTTTTATTGAAATTATGACTGTGTAAGAAAATAATGTGTACTTTTTGGTGTATTATTATTAAAACGAGTGTGTATTGTACTAGGCGAGGTAGTGTAGGATATGTAATTGTCGGCGTTGCTCGACTATAATATTCTGTTACGAAATTCGCTTTTCTATTATAGAACCCGTACCACTAAATCGTGGATATTCTTTTTAAGAGAATAAACACCTTAAAATTCTTTTACTTACGATTATATTCCTTAGCAGTGGGGTTATTCACAATTTATTTTGGCAGTGCTCGCGACTAAAATGTTCTGCCTTCCGTAAATATTCTATTTATATACATTTTTACAAGCATATTACTGTTACCTAATTTCATGGTTTTTTTTTAATCCGTCAATCTGCTTTTCCGGTGATCGTTTTTCTCGGCTAGCAGCTCCATGACGCACCTGCGAATGTGCACTTGGTTTTTCCCTGTCTAGGAAATTTATTATTTGGGAAAATTAATTGTAAGGAATGAGCTGGACTTAGGGTTTCCGTAACAATATATATGTGATTTTTTTTATATTTATATATTGTAAAATATGTAAGAAAATAAAACATATTTATATATATTTATTTAAAATGTACATTTTTAAAACAGCTAATAATAGTTAGTACGTTGTTACGTACCACGTAGTTGTTTGTAAAGCGCGTTAAAAACGTTCTTTAGGAATAGGAACTTCAGTAGGCTTGATCGTCTTCACTGTTTGGCATATAGAACATTTAGAGACGTCTGTAAGTTCAGGGGAGATTTGCCTTAAGTAGGCATGTCACATCCATTTTTAATTTTGACACACAGACTAAGCGGTGAAGGTAAATCACATTAGAATTTTTATAGCCTATGCGAACTTCCGTAACCGTTATTACATGCTTTTTCTCAATGCCTCTATAAAGCACACAAACAAGCTTCAAAAACGCTATAAAGTATATAAATTCTTTACCATTTTTAAATTCGAAATGCACTGAAGCATGTCGTGTTGTTCGTTTTTTCATCCATCCGTTTGGCTAACTATCTAGCACCTGTGGTCAACATTCTCCCAATCGCAAAAATGAAGATATCGCTTACAAATTTGCAAAAGAATTTATAAATTTGTTTTCCGTGTTTTTTGTTTATTTCTCATAAAATGCGACACACACACATCATATAAATTTGAATTTTTATTCTGAAAATAGAAAAAATCAGCCGCGACCACCCAATTTCATAGTGTACAAAAAATTAGTTCTTTTCCTTCTTTTAAGTCCTTCTTAGGATAAGGATGATAGGTATAATAGATTCGGTCATGACTGAATATAATTTTGTCACTTGTTTTTACTTTTAAAAGCTGTCTGCGATTTCCTAAAAACATATATTTCAGATTTGACAATTTTATGTCTGTAAATTGATCAAGAGTATAAAAGACCACAACAAACAAAACTATTGTTCGGTGATGAAAATCTTTATAAACCAACCGCTTATTTAGTGCTTTTCGCCGGAAGAAAAGATTCAGTGTCTCTGCGCCGTAAGCGCGTATACCTGCAACTGTTTCTAATAGTTACCAAAGAATATAATTATTATTATCGTTATTACTATTATTAGCACTGATAAGATATAATAAGTTTTTAGCTTAAAATGCCTAATCGTATATTGATACGTTTTTAGTGTTCTAGTAGCTATCAATAGAATCGCTTGGAGTATTTGTCTATTAATCTAGAAGGGAATCGTATATTTATATGGCATGGAGTCAAAAAAAATGTTGAGACATCGTGCTAATGCAATAAACAGTGATCGGAAAGCAATTGATCCGCTATTGCGGCATTCACAAATTATTGAAGATATTGATGATGAGACAAAAGTATTTGGATATTACATAAGAAAGCAGGTTTATATTCGAAACGAATTTAATCTTTAATACGGGGAGGTTTACTTTCAGACACATATTATTTTTATTATTGCCGCGAGTTTACGAGTTTAGTAGCTTATAGAACTTGACTAAGAGAGAAATGCAATTAAAAGAGAAACCATACTTCTCAAGCTTGCAGTTTTTTTGTTGCATGTTCCCTAAAAGGGGAAAATAAAAATGTGAAAACCGAGTGCGCAAAAAAATCTTTTAGGTCAAATTCGCTCAAGCTTAGCAGAGCATATCAGAATTTATATAACATGTATAAATAAATATTATGTTAAAACTAAAACTAATATTTTATTTTGTTAGACCACTGGTATAAAAACTTACTTTATCTCTCGTGATAAAATTAAATCCTATTGGGCTCCGGTATTTTTAAGTTTTTGGATCTTGCTATATTATGGTATTGCGATACCAGCTTTTCATCAATTGCCAAATTCCCTAAGCTATCAGGATGAAATTCTTCACAAAGATCGTTTCATAGCTGAACGTGCTGAAGTTCATTTACATAAGATTACCGAAATCGGTCCCCGCGTAGTTGGAAGTGTTGAAAACGAAGTTATGACTATCGCTTACCTAAAAGAGCAGTTTAGAAAATTGAAAGATGAAGCCAAATCTTTTTATAAAATTGAATATGACCTACAGGTGGCCTCTGGCAGTTATATCCATTGGAAAATGATTAATTCATATCAAGGTGTACAGAATTTCATAATCAAAATTGGACCCAAAAACACAAATAGTACCTCTTACTTGCTAGTAAATAGCCATTTTGATTCTGTACCCAGGGGTCCTGGAGCTGGAGATGACGGGGTTATGGTCTCCGTCATGCTTGAAGTACTTCGTGTTTTGTCACAATCGCCGCATCATCTTAATAATCCGGTTATTTTTCTTTTTAATGGAGCCGAGGAGAACCCTTTACAGGGATCACACGCATTCGTTACTCGACACAAATGGGCCAGACATGCAAGGTAATCCAAACCAAAAAATAAAAAAAGTTAAAGGCATTTAATTTCATTGATGCCTATTTTCAGAGCTTTAATTAATTTGGACTCAGCTGGTAGTGGAGGCCGTGAAATTCTTTTCCAATCAGGACCTAATCATCCCTGGTTAATGAAGGCAAGATAATTTGTTAACCACACTCACTTACATCTTTACGTTATTCGAACGTCAACAACTCAGAAATCTATCTCCTTCAATGCAGCAATTTTTTGAACCTTTTATTATATGACTATTCCTAGGGAAACTGAATCTTTATATGGCAAAAATGCTTAACTTTCAACACTCGTCAAAGAAAATTCGTTCATAATAACAATTCGCTGTAAAAATTAATCTTACCAAACAAATCAGGTAGATCTATTTTTTGGATCCGAACCCATATAAGGGCTCTAATGAAAAATGACCATTTATATATCAAAAAGGGTTAATTTTTAAGATTTTATGATGAAAAGTGGTCGTTAGTAAATTAATCATAAGACATTTGAATCATATATGTCATCTCTTGAGGCTCAACTGCACCATATGAAGAGGCTCTCATGACAGCAACTAGCGAATAAAACAAATAAGAAAATTATAGCTGGTCATGATCGAATCTTGTATACGCATCACCTCCTAAAAAAGACTAAAAAAAGGGAAAGAACTAAATTTTTATACTCTATAAAATAGAGTAGACGCTGCCGATTTTTTATATATTTTTCTTTTTATACATTATAAAATTGAGTGGGCGTGCTCGATTAGGTATACTCAAACCGCATTGAGATTTGAATTCTTGAATGCCGATTCTCTATCCGAGACTCTTATCTACTTGATTTTGCGACTATGAGAACGCTGGCAACTTGACTTGGTTAAGAGAGTCCGTGCTTTCGAACTCTAAATTAGAATAAGTAGTGATTATGGAAAACCTGGCTCAGGCTGATTTTAAACCTATCTTATTGAGAAGAGATTTTTAAGATAATACAAATATTTTTGCAGTTATACAAAGCCTCGGTACCGCATCCATTCGCCTCCACAGTAGCCGAAGAAATGTTCGAACGACATTTTATACCTTCGGACACGGACTTTCGAATATTTCGTGATTATGGAAAAATACCTGGTCTTGATATGGCCCACCAGTATAACGGTTATGTCTACCACACTCGATACGATCGTCCAAAAATTATTACTCGAAACACTTTACAAAATACTGGTGATAATGTTTTGGCTTTAGTGCGTGCCATTGCAAATTCAACTGAATTAGAAGACACCGAGGTAAGCACTATATAATGCAAATGTTACTTTGGTTATTATATAATATAACTGTACAAAGGAATAGTAGGATAGGATCAAAATATATTACACGTCCTTACACATACATAGCGTCTTTCAACTAGAGGTTACGCAACAGAGCCATCGTGTGGCAAGCAGCGCTGCGGGTGTTCTCAGGAACTGCACCAAATGATCGCTGAAGGGATTTCTAAACTATTTTTCCTGGGTTCTTGGAGCCCCAAATGCCACAGTTCGATTTTTTTACGCAACAGATGAAAATAAACCTCTTCAACTTTAATTCAAAAACCATTATCGCGAAATCTCACTATTTCAACATTTTGCAGGAGTGCAAGTGAACATGATGGACTTCTGGATAACTAAGAACTGATCTTTAGGCATTGCGTTCCGCATTATAGAAGTGAAATTCTTCTAGAATTGGCTTAGAAGGAAATAGACTACACTGACCTGCAAAGGCCATAGCAGATTTTTCGTATTCGACTGAACACCTAAATACGTCCACATATAATGGCCCTTAAAGCTGTATTGTAGCTCTAAACATTTATTCTCAGTCATGCATGGCTGATTATCTTAAAAGTAATGTAACCAAAAGACGTCTTTACAGAAATGCAATTCCTTTAACAAAAGCCATATTATGATGCACGCTATCGTTTGTACGTTCTTTAACGTGTCTCTCAGAGTCCACTTCGCATGCATCTGATTTTATTGTCCAGAAATAGTGCGCCAATATTTCAGAAGTCCATTTCCGCTGATATCTTTACTCTACGAATTATGTTCAAAGAAAGAAGTGGGTTTAAGAGACATAAGGTTACATGTGTATTGTCGTGCTTAGCGATTTTTTGCTTTGGGAAAAATGAATCAAGGCATGGCTTATTCACCGGATTCATCATACTTAACCGCCTGAGAATTTTTCCTTCCCCAAAACCCAAAGGACCCATGAAAGAACGGACTTTTGTCACGATCAAGATTATACCAAAAAGCGCGAGCAGCAGTACTTCGGGGACTGGAATAAGCGTTGGCACAAGTGGATTATAACGAAGGAGGATTACTTTGAAGGGAACAAAATGGACATTGATGAGTAAATAAAAAGCCACTTCTCTTTTTGAACAAACTTGTTCGTCGCTTAGCGCGCCACAGTTCTCCAGAAAGTAATCTCTGCGAGAATGCTTGAAAGTGCACTTTCAGTGATACATTACTACCCAAATTTCGACAGCAAGTGACAAATTAAGGAACAAGCTTTGTTTCCTGGAAAATTTTCTGTTGTCGCCTCGAAGTACGTTTTTATTAATCATGTGTGCCTTGGGATTTTTATGATCTTTTCTGTTTTTATTGATGGTTAAGGCGTAAAGAGATACGTGTACGTCGTTATCTGTATTAACAAAACCAGACTTGACTTGCGTTTCCGTGAACAGTATTATCAATCAGGAAAGCAATGTCTATAAGATAAGAGCATTCTCTCCACGTCATTATATTCATTTTCTTTTTATTGTTTGTTTGGAGTTACGTTTACGCCCTAATAGCAGCACATGGTGGGATGCACATCTTAGCCGGAAAAGCCTGACACACATCAAAACAGCTTCTTTACCCAAGTGTGTCGTTCGCACAAGTTCATTGTTGGAAGCTTTATACACAACCTTATCAGTGCGTATATTGCGTGAGATGCCCTCCAAAGCCCAGGTAAAATTATTATGCTTCAAACGTAAAGCTCGCACTTTGATATTTTCGCCATGGATTTGAACTTCGTGTATGCGAAAAAGAGCTAACTTTGTTTTGGCCGCTGGACGACCTAACTCGAACTTCCGCTTTTTGTGGCTCAGCGCCTACGAGCACAATCATGGTTGATGCCCTACGCAAAACCACTAAAAGAAAAATTTTTGGCAACTGCAAACAGTAAGGCTTAAAGCTACATTCAGGCGTTCTGATCGGTTACTAGTCATAAAAGAAAACACTGTATATTTTTGTTATTGTTGTGTTGCTTTTGTGTGAATTTTAACACAGCTTCGATTGTATTATTCTAGTTTTATTACTAATCGGGATTATTTAGCTGCAAAAATTGCGTTATGCCTTGTGATGTCTCCTTGATGTTGCTTAGAATACGGCCATTAATATAGTTTTTGCAAGCAAAAATTATAATTTGCTTTACTTTGTTTCTTTTTCATTCAGAAATTTGCTGCAGGTCATGTTGTCTTCTACGATATAATGGGATTGTTTTTGGTGTTCTATGACGAGTCAATGGGCATTTTATTAAATATTGCGGTGTCGTTAGCAGCTGTGGCCGCCTGTATTTGTTCGACTAAAGTGATAGCCAGTCAAGTTGATTTGACTGTAAGCGAACTCATTAAACATATCACATTGACTTCTGGCGCTCAATTATTGGCAGTAATAGTGGCTTCAGTGTTATGTTTGCTCATGGCTCTTGTACTGGATGGGATAAATGTGTCTATGTCTTGGTTTACGTTTTCTTGGTTAATTTTGGGATTGTACTTTTGCCCATCACTTTTTGGAATGTTTATAATACCGGCCATGTATTTTCGTTTTACTCGCGATGTAAGTGTCCACTATTTATGTAAATAATGAAAATATTTACAATTTTTTAATGCTTTTTTTAGGTACGTTTGCCTATTGCATGCAGAGTTAAAATGCTTCTAAACTGTCATTGCATCTTGTTGGTTTTAATTACATTGACTTTAACAATTTGCCATATAAGATCAGCATTCGTGCCAATGCTATCGGTTTTATTTTACACTATAAGTTTAATTATTAACTTGTGCACAGGATTTTACAAAACATGTTCGAAATATTTTTTCCTCCTTTTTTACTTATTTGATTTATTTTGCGATAATTTGATCTTACCTTTTTTTTAGCTGTGGTCTGGATGATACCTCATACCCTTGTAGGAATTCCACCATTTCTCTTCTTCGCCTATCTATCCCATGGCTTCTTTTCTACTTTCATTCCGATGACAGGGCGATTTGGTGATGGCGTTAATCCTGACTTAATAATAGCTGCTTTCACGATTGTTACAAGCATTCTAATTGCAGGATTTACGGTTTGTGCTTATGTAAATTGCACAAGTTTTTCTTCTTTTTCATTTTCTTTTCTTTCCCAGATACCTGTTTTCAATTTGTTTAAAAATCCCACAGCTATTGCCGGCGTATTTTTCTTTATCAATCTGTTGTGCATAATTTTTGCTGTTACTCCCTTCGCTTTTCCGTATACACCGGAAACAAATGTTCATAGAGCAGCGATACTGAATGTTCGTAGAACGTTTCGTAATGAGCAAAATGATATCCGCAGAACCGAGACAGGCTATTTCATGCTACCACAGGACAGACGAGCTCGTTCAATTATACGTTTGTACTAAGTAGACGTAAACATGTGCAAGTAATAATCATTAAAAACATTTTGAAAATTCAGAAAAATTTGGTTATACAGAGTTGGCTCAATCCGTAAAAACTGATTGTGATACCGAAATGTTGTGTGGTTTACCTCTCTACAACCATCGTTGGCACAAAGCAAGGTAGTAATTGTAATGCTATGTAAATGGTATGAATAGATTTTAGATATTTTCTTTTATATGTTTTTAGAAATTCCGGTATCTGGTTGCCAGGACCTGATCCCCATTTTAATCAAATGCCAGTTCTTAAAATGTCAACGAAAAATCAATTAAGTAAAACGAAAGTGCGGTTTAATATGACACTAACAGGTCCTGACCATATGGGAATTTTCCTTCGACCTATCAATGGTGGTAATATAAGTAATTGGTCTTTTCATGAAACGCCTTTGCGCATGAATTGGCCATCTCCTTATTTTATATACTTTTCATATGGTATAGTCACAAGTCCTTTAGAATTTTATTTGGATGTCGAGGTATGTAGACGTTTGTTTTTAAATTATGATCTCGTGATTTAGCTAAGCCAAATTCTTAGAATAACTTAGGCAATTGGAGTAGATCTGCTTTCGAGATTGGTATTGCAGCCCACTGGATCCATGACGATGACTTTCAAACGGAAGACTTTAAGCAATTTCTAGCTTCTTTACCTAAGTATGTAGATGCGATCGCTTGGCCGGCGTCCTATGATACTTGGTATTTTTAATAGCTATGCTTCAAAATTTACCGATATTTTCAATATTTGGTAAACAAAAATAAATATGTATAGAATATGTTATTAATGAATTCAACGAGAATGTTTTTTACGAAAAGAAAAAATAAACATCAAATCGTGGATCGCGACTTCCGATCCGACTACAATGTATTCATCATGATTTCTCAAGCAAGTAAGAGTGTGAAAATTAAAAACTAGTAAAACTAGTAAACTAATAAAACCATTCGTGCCTGGGCCAAAGCACGTCGGTGCACCAAATTTCACCAAAATGTGCTCAAAGATTGAGACTAGGTTGAATAAATTGCACTACAAATCTTGTTGGGTGTAAAAAGGGCTTATTGTAAAGCGAATGGCAATTTAACTAAGGAAATTAGAAATTCTCGACGTTTTTTGTTAAATATTTTTTTTTGTATTTCTATTCTTCATCTTTTTTCATCGACGTCCTTCCAACGAATTATTGCAGAAATTATTTTGAAATAAATTCTTAGACTAAAAAAAGGCATTGAGCACCAGCAACACAGGCTATCAGCTCTAATTTAAATAAATGGGCATTAGATAATGAGCTTAGTAGTATTAAAAAAGTAATATATTGAATTGATATTCGATTCTGAAGCTGATTGTAGAATGTTCAAAGGATTAATCGTTCCAAATGCAATACTTTTAGCCACGGAAAAGTTGAGAGAATGTGCTTTATAGTGAGAGTTTGTCCACAACTGCAGATTGGGGAGGAAGACTTCTTCAAGATCCATTGGTGAGTTGCAATTGTATGACCAAGGCGAATTCTCGAAAATGTTCGGGTCTTGGTTTTCTCAACATTTGTTGGATATAAAGGTGGAGTTAATTGAGGGTTAATGGAAGAGTAGTGTTGATGATGGTATTGTAAATTTCCTTCTGCAATTTTCTCTTTAACTTTTCTTCCAATGTATCTTTGAAGATCCAACTTTTCCATGACATCATCCATAATTAAAGGAGCAGAAGCAGCATCCTTTGCCGCTCGATCAGCCTACTCATTTCCCAATAAACCGATGTGACTTGGTACCCATAAACTTTTAATTTTTCCGTCGGATGGTGTAATTATATTCCTTAATTCGTTAATGGTGCTCCTTCTCGAAGTCGAAGGATTCCGAATAAGGAAATGTCCGCTTTTATTACAACTTTGTGATCAAAATAATGACAAACAAGGAGGTGAATATTTGTTGCAATGTCAGTGTGCGTAACCAGAGCATTTTCTTCACAAAAATTTAAGCACATTGAATAATAATAATATTGAACGCACGAACAACCGACTAGGTAAGAATCGCGACTATCAATTCCACGGTCGTGGGTTCAATTCTTAGTGCAGTAGAGTTTACTATCTATATTGAATGCTCAGGAGGAAAAGGCTTAGCATTTATCGCTTCAGGCAAACAATTATTATATTGCGGAAACTACCTCTTTACCTCTTTCTCTTTCGTCTTTGTCACTGCCACGGCGTTACACGAATAGGATACCCGACAGACTGTTCATATTAAAAAAAAATGCGTATTGATTAATTTGTATTCGATTCTGTTAAAGTGTGAGAAATTTGCGTTAATTTCTGTTAGTGTGAGAAATTTGCATTATCAGCTGGTTTCTCTTACTGTGCTTTTCTGGACATTTGTTGGATAGCTTTAAGTCGAGTCGGGTGACTCACCAAATCCTCAAGAATTGCACAAGATTAGTCAAGTATTCCAACATGTAATTAAATATTTTAAAAACTTTATTAAATTCTACACTGAGAAATATGTTCGATTAAGCTTAAATTCACGTTGATGAGAAGCTATGCCTTCGTGCAGGAAAAGTCGCAGCACGCTCCAATGCTTGTTTTGTTTTCATTCTTTCAAAATGCTGCATCGAAAATCTATATTGTGAAGAGGCTTTATTTCTCTAGCTATATTATCTTATTGTATAATTATGTTATTCTTATTTTTCTAGCTGCGGAGCACGTATGTGCCTCGCGCGTCGCTTAGGCTAGATTTAGAAATGCAAATATTATTTGCTTTTTACGAAATTATAAATTGGAATGTCATTACGACCAATTGGAGGTGTGCACGTTCTTGTCGGACCATTACAATTTAAAATGACACAAATATAAATAAATAGTTTGTGTCTATAAATAAACTTTGCAAATTTTATTTCCGATACACTATAGTTTACGTTAATCTCATTCGATAAGCTCACTTTTAATTATATTACATTTGATTGACTTAAGTCAAAAAGTAGTCTCCTTTCCGTATCGTGCCACGCGCCAACGTCGGGAATCGACTCCATCAAATGGCAGCTGGTAAGTGGTTACAGATACCGGCTCTATTGATTCTTTGATGAATAGCAGCAATATGATACATTTGATTCCACAACAGCAGCAAGATAGCAACTCAATAAATTCCGCATTTATTTCATTATCGCACTTAGATATTTCTTTCAAATGGGAAGGCACAGTTTTTTCTTGAAATTCAGTGAAATTTAAAAAAAAGGTTTCAATATTTTTTATTTTCATTTCACTTGATACTATTCAAATATACTGTAATCACGAGAGCTGATAATGTTGCGGTGAATGGAGGTATACCCTAACGTAACTTCTTAAATTCCACTCTCTTTGCGTGTAACAGCTACACAGCCAATTTACCCGAAAAATTAAATCCTTCAGTATTCTGATGATTTTTCAATTGCTTCGATTGGGATTACGTTTGAAAAGCAATTAAAAACCTCTTTAAAGAAGTCTACCTCATTTATAATGCTTGCGCTAGAGTTTATTTACACACTTGGTCTAGCGGACCGGTTTTCCTATCCAATCAGAGTTAACTAAAGAAGCTTTGAAGAACTGTCTCCGAAAAATCCCTGGGGTGTGTGAAAAGGGCGTGAATGGTGTGAAAAATGTGAACACAGAGTTCTTTGTTTGGGCCTTAGCCCTTAGTAGGGGTTAAATTTGGAAATAACATTATTATTGATTTATTTTAGTAATTATTTAATTAATGTTGTTTTTTTTAAATTTTAAGTGTTATACGTCCGCCACATTATCTTATTTATTTTTTTAGTTTTTATTAAATTATGCATATTACTCGTCCACCACGTACGATAGAACAGAACAGTGTGGAGTAAATTCAAAAAATGTCAAGAATCCTGTGGTAACGAAGACCAATTTGCGAAGCGCGGAATGGCGAATAGAAGTGGTAAGTTTCGGACAGACAAATAATCCAAACCCAAAAAATATTTTGTCCGAGATTTCTTACCCCTTTGGCTGCTGTAGCAAAAATGAAAGACCGAGGATGTTGTGCCACACTCTTTTATAGTCGCGACCACCATCGCAGTTCTGTTACGAAGTTGCTTTGTCTGTGCCTGTTACAGTCTGGTACGCGTTATACGATGTACGGCTACTATATATCAATGCTTACTTATGTATGTATGCGTTGTAGAGATGCTTACTTATGTATGTATCATATTAGTTTGGGGATAAAGAAATCCATTATTTTTATATGAACTTCAGCACTTTATTTAACATGCTTCGGATTGTCCGATTTGGGTCAAATATGCACCGTTTTGTTGTATGATTTGTTGCCATTTTAAAGGTAGCTTCAAAATGCCTCTCTCATAGAAGTCCTGGTCTCTATTTGCAAAAAACTCTAGTAGTCGATTTTCACAATCCTCCCTAGATTCCAATTTTTTATCATTAAAGAAATTTTGCAATGCAAGAAAAAGATGATAATCGCTTGGTGCCAAGTCCGGACTGTATGGCGGATGCATTAAAACTTCCCAATCAAGCTCCCGAAGTTTCTGGCGAGTCACTGTAGATGTGTGTGGCCTAGCGTTGTCCTGGTGGAACACGACACCTCTCCTGTTGCCAATTCTGGCCGTTTCTGGTCTGGTGCTGGTTCCGTTTTCCTTTCTTCTTCGACATTTACAATTTTTCCTTTTCTCTACCTCAAATATAAGTTTACTAGTCTTAATCTTAAGATCTATCACTACCATCATTGTAGCCGCACCAACCAGACCAAGAGATCCATTTTTGCACTCACCCCGCGATCAACCCTTTCTTCCACTTACTGTGGCACTGATAAAGCTGACTAAACTTCGGCTTAAGTTAATTATTCTCAATTTCTTCTGATTTCTTTTTACTCTAATTTCTCTTTACCTAATCCTTGCTCTCATAGCCTAACTTGCTCTAGTACTCCCCCTAAGAGACAAAGAACATGTCAGGCCAAAACGAGGGACGGCCATAACTAAAACGTTTCATCATTCATGTATGCAAACTAGAAGTAGGTAACAAAAATAGATATATTAAAAATATATATATAAGGAATTTCTTTTGAAGTTGAGTACTCGCTAAGTGGATGACTTCCAGGATCGCAAGACATTCAGCCGAAAATATAGTGCGATATAAGTGATTTACGAAGTAGGCTTCTATGTTAATATCTGGAAACCACACGCCTACAACATCGGCCTTCGCTCCATTAGTAAAGATGAGTGAATAAGGTTTTCATTTGGTATTGACTAAGTTCGAGTAACGGTGGTAATTGTGGATTTTCTCACTGGCAAGAATTTAATTATAGGTCGAAGATATTGAAGACCAAAAAGAGTTTTGAATAAGCTATGCACATCATCTCTTAGATATACTGTAGCAATGGGTAGGCAAGGTAAATTTTTTCCATTTTTATACAAGAACGCTCCAGCATCGTCCATAGAGTATGCGTTCAAATTGTTGTACATTTATTTATGAGTAATGAGCAAAAAACCAAGTTTTCATCCCTTTTAAAAAACCGAGGTATTCTCAATTTATGTGATGGTGTGGGTGTGTCCTTCGACCGATTTTGCCCATTTTCAATACCACTGTTTCTGCCAAATTTGAACTCGATAGCTTCATTTTCACGGCCAGAATGTTTACAACAGGCATTACACAGACGGATAGACGGACAAACGGGCATGCTTAAATCGATTTAGAGTTTGGTGCTGATTAAAAATACATATACTTTGTGGGGTCTCTGTTGCTTCCTTCTGGCCGTTGCAAATGTTTT